AAGAAGGGTTGAGTGATACATCATTTGTAAGGTCTTGAAAGCCTCTTTACAACGGTGTATGAAAAAAATCACATTATTATAGGATTATAGCGGTCGGAAATGGGTTTACTCACTTCTTTTAATCACTTCTTAAATTATGTAGAATTATGGAGATAGGAGTTGCATGACTATCAAACAATATTGAAATTCGTAACGTGCAAAGAGGTAGATATGATACTATGAAAAGTAAGTGGCTGGTAATGGTCCACTCTTAAAATTGAAAAATGCAGGGACACTGCGATGACCGAATTTTGAGGATTGTACGAGGCTTCAATGAGGAAGCAAATATTTTGGAATATTTGAGGGACTTGCATATGTAATTATTATAGTTTATACTTATATTGCATTGTATATATTTTTCTATAAATATTTTTTTTCAAAATAGTTTCTTAACTAAGGCGAAATAAACCCAGACAACACACCAAATCCCAGAGATATCCACAGTATATCTTTTGTGGATATCCAATATATCCACAGGATATCAGAAATATTCCGTGGATCTAATATGGATATCCAAATGTCCGTCTATATCCAGAATATAGAAGATATCCTATGGATATTCAGCAAAATATCTAATGAGTATCTTCCAGACAATACAAGAAATCCCAGAGATATCCACAGAATATATTTTGTGGATATCCAATATGGATATAGAATTCAGATATCCAGCAAAATATTTTATAGGTATCTTTAGTAGAGGGTTCATAAGTAACCAATGATTATTGAATAACATCGAAAGAAAATAGAGACAAAAAATATTTCCAACAATCTGCCTTTGATTTTGCCCACTATAAGGGCACTTAGGAGAAAGTCATCTTTATTAGGACTCTTCAGCAATAAATGGAAATTCTCGACTCCAGTCTCTAATAGAATCTGATTGTGAAAAAAAAAATTCGATCGAACTCATTTACGGCGGGTTGAGCATGAGTAGATACGAAAGTGGTATCGCCATCTATACTTAGGAAGCAAAATCAAAAATTACATCTAGTAGATATCCACGATGGTTTGCGTCCGCGCTTAGACTTTGATATATTTATATTTATAGTGGATGTCCATGGGATATTGAATACACCTTAAAAAAATTAATTTTAAATATCTGAACGGTACTATTAGCCACAATGGCGAGCACAATGGCGTAATTTTTTAATAATTTGCTATATAATTACTATTATTTATGGACATTTGTATGTCTATAAATTACATTTCATGGATATAAAATAGATATCCACCATGGAGTGGACATTCAGTGGATATTGGGATGTTCAGTAGATATCCAAAGGATTTGGTGTGCTGTCTGGGAACTTATAAATTAATATGAAACCTCTTTAAAATAGAATAGAGGAACAGAGGAAGGGGGAGGAAAAATTTATTTGCAATCGATATAATAATAATCGTCTTTATTAGAGGAAAAGAATGTATATAAGTATAAAAATTTTTTCACATGGGAATATCCTGAAAACAAAAAAAATTGATAGTCGCACCACAAATTTATGGGCACACGCTTAGTAGCACTCGATTACATAATAAAATACTCAAAATACGGCGAAACGGCTGCCAGCGAACTGGCTCGACCGCGAAACGGCGATGGCGCAACGGCGACGATGAAACGGCGCCGGCGAAACGTCCTACACCCGGGATCCAGAGAGAGGCTTTTGTGAGCTTGGGGAGCTCATACATCCTTACAACAGCGAGTGTTGTTCCTTCCCATGTTTTTAAGGTTAATAATACAATTGTAATTATCTATTAATTTTATTTTGTCACACTTCATGATGAACTGAAGCAAATCATTTCAAAATTTATCAGTACAAATTTCTAATTATTAGAAACATTTGAAACTTATCTAACTCTTAAAAGGTATTATCGTAAATAAAAAATGTAATTCTTTAAATATTGTAAAAGTGTAGTATTAATACAAAGTGGTATAATCACAATACAGTATCTAATGTTTCTAGAGATTTAAGAAAACTTTCGTCCCTGGAACACCACTGTATTAGTTCGTCTATTGTTATAACTCCATCTTTATTTGAATCAATCATCTGCAAACAAAATTATTCATATGAATGATAATACTACCAAACGGACCCGATATTTTGCTAATGAAAAATGTGTTCCGTCAAATATAGCATTGAATCGACCTATTTTAAACCCAAGAATATGTGGTATAATTTATGACCAATCTTTTTGAAACACCCTGTATATATAGCAAAATGTTTCGAGTTAGATGTATGTGGAAAATTTATAAATTTAGTTTATCCTCTAAACATTTATAGAGGTGGTGCAATAGGTCGTACAAAATAACCGGAAAAAGCCTATAATAACTAGATAGGAAAGTCCATGTGTTGGACACATCAGATTTTTAATGAAAGTATCCGTAGCGACAATTGAACGCATTGTACGTGAAACGAAGCAGGTGACTGGGACTGTGCAAGCTCCAAAAGCAAATGGTCGTGGTCGAAAAAAAATTAAATTGGACGAGCGTCAGAAAAATATTGTAGGCACATCTATTTATTCTTCTTTTTTTTTTGAAAACAAATCGCTAACCATGGAATTCGTTAGAAGTAAATTATTGGAGAATGATTTCGTTTCACAAATGAGCCGAGTGACATTAAGAAAAATAGTACACGAATTAAAGTTTCGATATGCAAGACGATATCGTAACTCTGTTTTAATAGAAAGAGAAGAGATAGTTTCATGGCGACGAAAATATTTTCGCTCTATAAGGGAACATCGTTTGGCAAACAAGACAATATATTATCTGGATGAAACATGGGTGAATCTGGTCACACAGTATCTAAGATCTGGCAATATACTACGGTAACAAGTTATCGACAAGCATTAGTGGAAGGTCTATCAAGACAATTACGAGGAACAACTAGAAAAGGACAACGACTAATTGTCGCCCATATAGGTAGTGAAAGTGTTCTTTTAAACGACAGTGCCTTAGTTTTCTTATCTAAAAAACGGGGGATTTTCACGAAGACATGGATGCTCAAAGCTTTGAAGGTTGGTTTGAAACCCTACTTTCACGGATCTAGCTAAATTCAGTGATAGTGCTTGATAACGCTTCTAATCACAGCCGCTTAGTGGAACGTCTAACCACTATGGCCATTAAAAAAGCGGTGATTGTGGTACTATCGCTACGACTAATAAGGGTGATAGTACCGCGAGGACTAATACTGAGATAGTGCGGGGTGAAGTGTCCGGCAACGGCAACCGTTTGGGTACAAATGTGTACCCATACAATTGGGTCCATTTTCTCGCTTATGGTATTTCCTATGTTCAAACTTAATTAATATTTAACAAATAATACCCTTATTATAAATTTATATTTTATATTTAAATCAAGCTTTTCAAATTAAAGGTATAGTTGATTTTATTACTTTACGGAAATGAACAAAAGCTATAAAAGAACATAGAATATCGGCAAAATATTTTGGCTATCAGGATCACTTTTCAAATGTGCATAACCCGCCAGTAGACAGTTGGTCATATGAGAAACTTTTTTAACACGCTTTTATTAGCTTCACCTGTATGTATGTAATGTATGTATGTATGTATGTATGTATGTATGTATGTATGTATGTATGTATGTATGTATGTATGTATGTATGTATGTATGTATGTATGTATGTATGTATGTATGTATGTATGTATGTATGTATGTATGTATGTATGTATGTATGTATGTATGTATGTATGTATGTATGTATGTATGTATGTATGTATGTATGTATGTATGTATGTATGTATGTATGTATGTATGTATGTATGTATGTATGTATGTATGTATGTATGTATGTATGTATGTATGTATGTATGTATGTATGTATGTATGTATGTATGTATGTATGTATGTATGTATATATGTATGTTTGTAACTCTCCTTTGGAAGCAAAAGGCATTTATATATAAATTTTGTACATATTCAAAATTGGATACATTTGGGTGATAAAAAAAAATTTACCTTAAAAATTTTTTCTACATGTTCTTTTGCCGACGAATCTTCTACAACTGGTTGAGTAGCCCTACCAAGCATTTCATAAATACTGGTGACTACATCAACCATTTCGTTTTTCGAAATGAGACCGTCACCATTGAGGTCGTAGAGATTAAAAACCCATTGAATTTTTTCGTTGACGCTTCCTCTTGAAACTTTTGATAATATATTTAGAAAATCCTGAAAAAAAAAAATTAAAATAAATCCATTAAAAAAGCATCTTTATTCTAACAGGTTCGATGAGAGATCGTTATTTTCTGAAACCAGATGATGAAGATAAATTTAAATGAAACATTGTACTAACAATTCAGCAGAGTGGAAGACAAAACAGCAGGATCGAAGCATAAAATATTGTTTCAATAAAACAAATAAAATCGACGATTTAAAATGTAATATTTTTTTAATTTTATTTATTTTAATCCCTGTATTTTTTTGCCGCCAACCCAGTTAAACTGTCCTGTTAAAGAAACTAATAAGTTTTTCGACCTTTTCCTTTTAGGCCTTGTGAGCCATAAGTATTATTCCCTACACTGTGTAAATTCTATTTTAATCAAATTTTCACTCATATCATTACTAACTGTAACTTGCAACCACACCGAATATTTGCCCTTAAGTTATTTTCTTAAATAACTAGAATCTAATAAATAACATAATAGTTCTCAAAGGCACCATGTAGCTAAAAGTATTCATAAAAATTTAATCCTATAAATGTTTCCCTACAATTAATTAAAAACACAACTCATTATTGGGTTCACTCGGAAACTTCGGTATTTAATTATGCAAAATACAATAAATTTAATAACATATAAACCGTTTTAGGTGGTGCTAAATACGTTCCCCAAATTCTAATTATTATTCACTGCTGGTTCAAATTACTATAACAACATACATTATTAATAGTTGACACCCTGCCAAATTATTCTCTTAACTAGCTTTGAACATTGAATTACTGGTTTTAGCTAGTCAGGCATCTTTAAGATCTTAATTAAATAATCCACTATTTGCTATTTAAAATCTTTAAAATATTTTTGTTTTTGTAAGGAAATAGTAGTTTGAATAACAAAAGTGGATTTGACAACCATATCATACTAGGCTAAAACTAGATTACGACGCCGTAGACGGAGACATCAATCCCCTGGCAATTTACTTTACGACCCACTAAAGAAAAACTACTTGACTAAAAAAATTCAGATAAAATAATATTGTTTTAAAAATAATTAATACAAATATTTGAATTTATTGAGTGATTATTCAGAGACGATATTGTCCAACTTGCGTATCTCTTATCGCCCATCATGCACACTGGCCCACACATGGATCTTTGATCTCGCTTAACTAATACGGTTATTTATTGTTAATGTTAATTTTGTTCTCCACTATTTTAAATGAATTTCTTTTTATTTCTTTTCTTTTTTAAGGTCCTATCTTATCTGCCTCATTGGACCGGCCGCCATTGTCAGATATTGAAACGTTGAAATTATGTGTTTGATGTAGGAAATACATCATATACTAGGTGTTTCGTAACTATCCGACAAAAAGTTAAAAAAAATCTATTTTTAATCAATATGATGAAAACGTTTTAACCGATTTCAACGAAATTTTCAGTTTGTTGATGATTTTAATGAGGAATCTTTTGAATTTATTGCGTGTAGCCAAAATTTCCATAGTCGTGCCCACGTTTTTTTTTTTTATAAAAACGGTATGAAGAAAATTAGTAACAAGGTTCGATTTCTGTTCGGTTCACAGCCTTGGCTGTGATGTTATCTCAAAAATCGCTCAATGGCGCTTGATTCCTTTTAGAGTAACGTTATTCATTCATAACAACTATAATTAAGCTCGATATGTGAATTATACAACTTTAATTTTACTTTAAGAATAAAATCATTTTTAAAGGTTCTGATGATGCCATATATTACACACAAAGATTCTGTAAAACATCCGTTAAAATTTAGAGGCCTTTAAAAATTTAACTTTTAGCGGCCCGTTAATTTTTTTAACCAAAAATGGTATTCTGTATAAATAAATTTTAGAGGCCTGTTAAAAATTATTTATTTTAACGGAGTCCCTTAAAAATGACAGGAGAACACTTGACAACATCGCATTTAAAATTCATTTGAACTAATTTTGAAGAATTAGAAGAATAAATTTGAAAACATAACCATACAAATCCTAAATTTTCAATTCAAAACCAAAACATACATGAAAAATAAAAAATGTCTCGCGAACCAAGAACAACCAAAAACCAGAAAGAGTGGATCATAAACTTCTTAGAACAGCAAAATTTGCTTCATCATGGTGGGAAAATAAACCCAGTAGATACAATGAAATTAAAAAAGTTTGGGAAAATGTTGTAGCCGAATTAAATAAAATTGGGCCCAAACATCTAGGAAAATTATATTTGTTTTGAAATCTGTTATTTTATTTCTTTTATTTTCAGAATTAGAAAATACAATCAATCCAATTGCTCTGTATTGTAAATTATATTTGTTACTTCATCTATACTTCTACTCATAATTTACCTACTTTATTATAGCTTTCTTCATTTTCCAGTAACTTTTCAATAACATTTTATCCAATTATATCATAAAACGCCATTTTCGGTTCCGTTAAAAATTCAAGGTGAATTTTAACATCCCTTTAAAAATGATTATTGTTAGAGGACTATTTTAAAGGAATCCGTTTTAAATAGTGACAGAAGTACATTAGCGAGTACGAAAATATTTTTAAAGGCCGCCAATATTTTAACGGCCGTTAAAATATAAAGGAATTGTTACAGAATAGGACCCCATTATCGAATATGCATTTTGTATTAAATTATATACTTACTATATTTAAGTATGTATCTGTAATATCCTACAGACGTCTCACTTAAATGAAATGCGTTTTAGTTAGAACACAACTGGTAGGTACATCTATTTGCAGACACTATTTTTGTTCCTTTCAATTTGATTATACAATCGAATACTATCAATATTCACAGCACGGTCTGGAGTGCTCCTGATTTAGTTCCAATTTTTATTTTTAACTGAAATTTGTAAAGTTCTTCGTGTTATTAACTTTTTTGTCGAGGTTATAAAAATGGATTTTTTTCAGCACGAAAAACGTGACATAAATCATAATTTTATTTTTAATACCTATTCGCAAAATATTTCTTTCTACTTAAACATATTCAACTGTAATGTTAAAATAGATTCAATGTATTTGCAATATCTTAAGACCCAAAAAATATAACGAGCAATCAAAAAAAAAAAAGTTTCTAACGTCATCTAAGTCTAATCTGAACTACTATGGATTTGGAAATATTTGAATCTATTTAATCATTTTTTATGAAGAATTAATATGGTAAAGGCAAATGTAACTTAGTTTTATTTTAAATTCTGTCATATCGTAATCGATTTTCCTGAATAATTTCGATGGTATATTGAACAATAATCGACCGTTTCTTTCATTAGGTAGGTACCAAAGAAATGTTTATGTCTTAGTTATTTTAAAAGGAATATCTGTGTCTGTAACGTGTGGAGGGTAGGTTAACCCACAGCACTTAGGCCTCGCTAGACCCACTGTGCATTCTCCTAAGTAGATAGGTACCTCTAATCTCGTGTTTTAATGTAGATTTTCAAAATTTTCAAGATTTTCAAGATTTAAAATATTAAACTATTTTGGCACCTATAATGTATTTTAATAACACCATATATACGGGGGGCGTGGAGGATGTGGCACAAATAGTTTTGATTGAAAGTTTTTAGAAATGGAATTATATTTTGGACCTGAAATATAGCCAGTTTAGACTTTTGATAGTACTGATTTAAATTATTCATATTTTTACAAAAGAAAAACTGATTAGATTTGGGGCAGAGTCGAAACATCTGGGGGGTACTTTATAGGTGGTCATTTTTATATTTTATAGAATATATCTGTTATTTACGTTTGAGGAAGAAAATTCTTCAAATAAAAGTTACTTCTAATATAATTATCATTAATTGTTCTATACAAAAATTTTTTAAAATGGTCCGTATTCGAGAAATTTGACAAAATGTAAAAAAAATATTTTTTCATAAAAATTGTTCAAATAAAAGTTGTTTGTAATATAATTCTCTATAATTATTATTCTATACATAATTTTTTTAAAATGGACCGTATTCGAGATATTTGAGAAAATGTGTAAATTTCGAATTTTGAAGAAAACTCAAAAGCGGATAAAGAAAAAATCATTAAATTTTAAACTTAAGGTTTATTTCGGCCTGACGTGAAATTATTAGATTTTGGACAAAGTTGGAACATCTAGGGGGTACTTTATGGGAGGCCGTTTTTATATTTTATAGAATATATCTGTTATTTATTGTTTGGAGACGAAAATTGTTCGAATAAAAGTTACTTCTAATATTATTATCTATAATTTTTGTTTTATGTCAAAATTTCCTGAAATGGTCCGTATTCGAGAAATTTGACAAAATGTGCAAAATTCTGATTTTTATGAAAATTGTTGAACTAAAAGTTGTTTGCGATATCGATCTCTATAATTTTTGTTTATGCATGATTTTTATAAAATGGACCGTAATGGAAAAGTGCTAAATTTAAATTTTTCAGTATTTTCGTTTTAAATGAATATCTATAGAAAATGGTTCAAGGTAGATGTATGTGGACAATGTATATATTTAGTTTATCCTCTAAAATTTATAGAGATGCTGCAATAGGTTGTACAAAATAACCGGAAAAAGCCTATAATAACTAGATAGGAAAGTCATGTGTTGGACACATCAGATTTTTTTATTTTGACAGAATAGGCTAATTCTTCAATGACAACTTATTAGACTTAGGCAACTTCTCATACATTTTCCAGTAAATACTGTTGCCTGCCTATATTTTATTATTATATCAAACCAGAATACTTTCTTTATGGACGGCATTTTTAAGTATTGCAAAGAAGAAGCAGAAAATAGTGATTTTCTTTATAAACGAAAAGAATTGAATTTGAAGGAAAAAAGAAGAAAAACAAAATACGTCAAGTTGGACATTAGAATTAATAAAATAATAGCGGCATATACAGAAACAAAAGACGTTAAAAAATGCCTAACTTCTCTAGCTTACGTCGCTAAGTTAGAGTAACCGACTGTATGGCTCTGCATTTTGTAAATATTTTGTAAATACCATTATTTTTGTAAATTCTTAAAAAACAAAAAAAAAACTCAAAAATATAAAAACTAAAAAAACTTTTAAACACGCCAGCAAATCGGTGCCAGTCCTAAGCCTGGAAAAAGTGTGAAGGAAAGTTTTAAAAATAAAATTAAGTATAAGTATATGTACGCAAGTAGGACTATATAACGTAATACTTTGACCTGACTCAAGAGATGATCTAACCCGTGTACGCAAATGTGACAAAATTGACCGTGTACGCAAATGGGACGTACGCAAATAGCACTATATCAGTCTGGGATAATATACGTATTAAAAAATACCAGAAGGCTAAATAAAAGGTGCATAAGACTATCATTAGATTACAAAAAAAATTGTCTATATTTCTGTTAAAGTACTTCATTTTGAAAATATCTAGGACGATGCAAAAAAGTGATATTAATTCACGCTGTGCTCTCGAAAACAACATCATCTTAGTCAAAACTCATACACAGAACATGCAGTAGCCAACTTACCTCAAAACTTATTTTTCCAGTTTGTTTCTGTTTTATCGTATTAAACACGTAGTGTGCATAATTCGTAGCATCTGAAACAAAAAAAGAAATGTTTTTAGTTTTGTTTTAAAATTATAATTAAGTGTCGTCTGCAGATAAAATATGCTAGATTATTTTATATTCTAGTGAAGCATTGGTTGCGAATATAATCCTGCGAGTCTCATTTCGTGCAAATTCTTTGTCAAAGATGCTATGTTCTACCGAGAATATATTGTTAACAAAGTGTCAAAAAAAAAATAGAGGGTAGAATGCTATTATTTATCGATTTTTCACAAGAATCACTCATTTGTAATTACATTTAATCTGAAATAATATATTCTTTCAGTTGAACGCAATGGCATACTTTTTCGATTTGTAGTCTGTGCGTAAAACAGCTAATATCTATCATCCATGTGGATGTAGAAAAAATACTTTAAGGATAGTGTCTTATTCATTTTTGTTTCTTATTTTTTTTTTTTTGTGTGTAATATATATAATACCTCAGAAAGAAACCCTTTCTAAAAAGGAATTCGCACACATAAATTATATTATATTTCCAGACATTTGGGAATATATAAATTGGGTAATAAAAATTAGTCCTACACCCCTTTGAGTTAGGTAAGGATCCAAGGACGCAAACAATAAATTCGTATTATAACTTTGGCATGTCAAGAAAACGGAAGATAAAAAAATTCAAAATGGAGTATTTATATATAAAACACAAATTTTACAGGATGTTTTCAAATTTTTGACCCACAGGGCATATACTTATTCCTAATAGAAAATTGGATAAACTTTCTACATGATAATTTTTTATTTTGGGCCCTATTAACGAATTGTCATAAATTCCATTCCGAGTCTAGCGCAAATCTCTCAGTCATATTATAGATTATATAAAATAATGAAACTTAAGAATAGTAAAATAATAATAATTTTATAAGTTATGAAAATAGAGAAACACGATTTTTGACCATTTTCTGAAACTGGGAAGTAAAGATACCTTGTTACTTTGGGTCTCAAAAGATTGGATACTGGAATAATAATAATTAATAATAATAAAAGGAATAAAGGAGCGATATCCTTTTCGGTTGTAAACTTAAGACAGTGTAAGTAAATGAGTGAGAAGTCACGCTACTGTTGGTGGAATAATGAAGGGGTTAATGTTAGTAATGCCTTCTAGAAGGCTTCAGGATTAAATGGATATCACATTCCATGCAACAACAACAAACTGAATCCTGAGCATGTTGGGCTACACTTATTCCTTAGGACTATGAATAGGGTGGACCTCACCAATTTTCCTAAAGGACCACTATAATATGTATTTTAAATTTGACAGTAAAAGAGAAGAATTTACGCACCGTTGAACCTACCTTAGGTGACAGCCCCCACTGCCTCACGTACATTAACCGAAGAAGTTGCCACCTGTATTCTGATGTTGCATCAGATAGATTGTAGACCGCTGTCGTCTGCAAAGCTGTGAATAGTCCTAGAAATGACGAAATTCAAATACAGAATAGGCCATTAGTGCTAGCACGTACACACATACTATGAAATTATCAAGTTCTATTTCAAGTTAAATATCAAGATGCAGCAACAAGTCTTCACCTAATATCCTCGGGAATTACCACAAGGAAATGTATTGGAACCCATATTAAATCTAGTATCAAATATCCAGTTATATCCGCAAAAACATTTGAACCCAGTACGAAATTGGCTAAAGACATGATGCATAAATGCAAAATCAATACACGTACCATTTACACTAAATAGAAAAAGTGCTCACCAGTAACATTTGATCTTGTTACTATCCCAATAATAAGAAATAAAATAACTCGGCAAGCACGTAGATATAGACAACTTACTTGAAAAGCCATATATGGTTAAAAAAGTAATTAATCGGACACAATTCAAAACTTTCAATGACCAATACACTTCTGCTATATAAATTTATCTTAAAACCAGTTTGGTTACAGTGTATATCACTATGGGGGGTCTCCTAGCTCTTTAATGTTCAAATTATCCAACGTCTTCAATAAAAAGTACTTCGTGCTTTAGTCAATGCTTCGAAGTAGAAGTATGTTCCAACACGCTTACTAAACTGAGACCACAATAGTCGAAAATATCAATAGCTTCAGCAAGAAATACCAGTGTAACGTCTGAAGTTTGATAACTTACTCGTTTTTACTAAATTGTAGGGGAAATGTGTGTGCTAGTATTCCAACGAGTGTACTAGTTTTCGTAAGGTGTCATAAGTGTAGTTACTTAAAGTCAAAAATACTAATCTTTACTTGTATGAGTTATGGAAGGGATTGCGCTACTGAACAATTTCCTATTACTTTCATTTACTGTCTTATCATTTTAGGCAGACTGTAAAACCCACATCCCCAACTAGCCATTGATAAAAATGTATTTGTTGTGAAGTCATCGCGCCATCTCTAAATCGGACTGATGATCTTTCTGAAAGCGCCTCACCATCATCTATTAACTGTATAGTCCAGGAGACAGTGACGATTTTTGGTATTTATTTTTCCAGCCAGCAATCACGGATAGAGAATTGTAGGGTTAGCAATTCTAAGCAAAATTTATATATTTAGAGGGGAGTGTCCGATGGGTTGAAGCCGAAAATGCGTCAGAACATACGAAAACACGGCCCCTTTTTTCCAGTGATAAAAATAGTTCTAGTAGTAAGAGGTATACTGAAGTTAAGTAAAAAAATCTGATGTGTCCAACACATGACTTTCCTATCTAGTTATTACAGGCTTTTTCCGTTTATTGTGTACAACCTATTGCAGCATCTCTATAAATGTTTAGAGGATAAACTAAATATATACATTGTCCACATACATCTACCGCGAAACATTTTTCTATAGATATTCATTGAAAATGAAAATACTGAAAAATTTAAATTTAGCACTTTTCCTACAATTTTTCCATTACGGTCCATTTAAAAAAAATCATGTATGAACAAATATTATAGAGATCGATATCGCAAACAACTTTTATTTCAACAATTTTCATAAAAATCAGAATTTTGCACATTTTGTCAAATTTCTCGAATACGGACCATTTCAGGAAATTTTTACATAAGGCAAAAATTATAGATAATAATATTAGAAGTAACTTTTATTTGAACAATTTTCTTCTCCAAACATAAATAACAGATATATTCCATAAAATATATAAACGGCCTCCCATAAAGTACCCCCCCAGATGTTCCGACTTTGTCCTAAATCTAATCATTTCACGTCAGACAGAAATAAACTTTAAGTTTAAAATTTAATGTTTTTTTCTTTATCCGTTTTTGAGTTTTCTTCAAAATTCGAAATTTACACATTTTCTCAAATATCTCGAATACGGTCCATTTTAGAGAAATTATGTATAGAATAAAAATTATAGAGAATTATATTACAAACAACTTTTATTTTAACAATTTTTATAAAAAAAATATTTTTTTACATTTTATCAAATTTATCGAATACGGACCATTTTCGGAAAATTTTGTATAAAACAAAAAATATTGATAATAATATTGTAAGTAACTTTTATTTAAAGAATTTTCTTCTCCAAACGTAAATAACAGATATATTCCATAAAATATAAAAATGACCACCCATAAAGTACCCCCCCAGATGTTCCGACTCTGCCCAAAATCTAATCAGCTCATTGGACGCTGAAACAAAGCTTAAGTTTAAAATTTGGTGTTTTTCTGTGTATCGGTTATACAGACACACACACACACACACACACACACACACACACACACACACACACACACACACACACACACACACACACACACACACACACACACACACACACACACACACACACACACACACACACACACACACACACACACACACACACACACACACACACACACACACACACACACACACACACACACACACACACACACACACACACACACACACACACACACACACACACACACACACACACACACACACACACACACACACACACACACACACACACACACACACACACACACACACACACACACACACACACACACACACACACACACACACACACACACACACACACACAGACACACACACACACACACACACACACACACACACACACACACACACACACACACACAACACACACACACACACACACACACACACACACACACACACACACACACACACACACACACACACACACACACACACACACACACACACACACACACACACACACACACACACACACACACACACACACACACAGACATCATCGCGAAAATAGTCAAAACGGATTCAGGGGACCTCAAAACGTAAAAATCCGTCGAAAACTCGAGGTCGAAAAAAATCATGATTCCTATACTTTCCTTATATCTGTATACAGATAGGAAAGTAAAAATAGTCTGATTAATCTGTGAGTATGGATAATATATTTGGCAAGTGCATAAAATACACTTTTCAAAGAGTTATGTAAACAATTTTTCCTACGATCACAACTATAAAAAGAATGTTCCAGGTGTTTTGTATATTAAAGTGTACGCATAGGACACATACATAAAATCACATATCACAATGTTTCACCTCACCATTTGGTTTACTTATAGAAAAAAAAACAAATTAATATAAGAAATTACAAAAGAAAATTCGAGAGATTGAGGCCCACAATGGTAAACTCGTAGCGTAAAAAAACGAGAAATGATTTAACTTGGAACGAAAGACCGAATGCCGATAATAGTTAAGACGTTGAATTGTTTGATTTGTGAAGCATTGGCATTACCTAAGTAAAACCATGTGATGATTTTCACAAGCCCTGATTTTTAAAACCATTCTATATTGCCTTGTGATTAGGGTTTACAAACTTGTTCAAGCAATTTTCCAATAATAATTTTTCCCCTTTACCTCTTAAGCCTGTTCATGTAAAATATTCGGGATCCTTACTTCGCCTATTTATCTAAAAATATTTGGTTTCTTTTAAATATGACCATGTAAAATTATATGATCCCTTTACTCCCTTAGAACTGTTTGTGTAAAAATATTTGCACTCATTGTCGCTTAAGCCTATTAACGTATAAAAATTTAAAATGGTTTTAAAAAAGCGTTTTTCATTTTGATAAATTTATTAATACCAATTCTTTGGGCAGTGTATTTATCATTCAAAAATAGTAGTGTTGGACGACTACTGATGTATTTTTAACATATTTTTTAAAAAAATTCGGTGATTAAAAATTGTTGAGTTGTTTTTGTCTTGGTTTTGGAAAAATTTACTAAAAAGCTAATCGTTCTTGTAAATCACTAATTTTCATGCAATGCATCTCATTAGCCGGACAAAAGCTTCTATTATACCTATTATTATATAAAGGCTTTAAGAAATAAATACCTTATTGTAATATATGAAGAAAAACCTTAATAAATAGACTCTTATCGTCTGATGCTTACCAAAAAAGTTGATCCAAGGTCTTGTATATCACTAATTTTCATGAAATACATCTCATTAGCCCGAGAAGTACCCGTTTTTATCCGTTATTCTTAAAGGAGTACGTGAAAATTTTACCCTTAACATTTCAATAAGGGCGTTCAATTATTTAAAAAATAAAACACAATTTACAGATTTTACTTTTTGTTGTTAAAGGTAATGTCAAATGTGAAATGTCACTATTCAATGCCAATGTTTCGTTTCTTTTCGATTTTCGATTTTTGGTTTTTTCGATTTTTTGCTTTGGATTTTTCGATTTTTTGATTATTTGATTTTTCGATTTTTCGATTTTTGATTTTTCGATTATTAAATTTTTGATTTTTCTATTAAAATTTTTCGATTTTTGATTTTTCGATTTTCGTTAGTGGGTCGTATAAAAAATATACTGTACAACTCGAGTGGATGTCCATATCCACTCTTGTTGCACAAACTACTAATTTTCTACACCCTCATGGATATTAGCTTATCTACGCACATACTACAAAACGAAAAAGTATGCTATTGCGTTCAACTGAACAAATATATATGGTTGCAACTATGTAAGTCGCAACCCCCCTTATAAATTTTTGCATTTTATGACTCAGAATGATCGCAAACGTAGAAAAAAGTTTAAAAAAATAAAAGTAAGAAATGTTTTTCGTCTGCACGAATTCAATACTGAGGCCCCATAGGAAGGGCCTCTCAGTAATAGGGAGATAAATTACATTTCCTTTTAAACTTTTATATAATAATTATTTTATTTAGAATTCACGAAACACTTATGAGGGAAAGCCCACTCACGCGACATGTCGCGCGCGACTGATCGCGCGCGGCAATACTTTTGATGTTTTTAAATGACTCAAAGCCCATTAACGCGGTTCTGTCGCGTGGTCATTTAAAAACATCAAAAGTATTGCCGCGCGCGACCGTTCGCGTTCGCGCGCGACATGTCGCGTGAGTGGGCTTTCCCTCTTAATTACAAAAGTTCTCAAACTTTGTTAGAATATTCATTAAATTGAAATAATTGTAAATTTAACTTTTTCCTCTCACCTCTAGTATAAATGATTTGACAAAACGAAACTAACAATAATTATAATTAATGTAGAATAGGCTTGTGTCAAAACTGTAAAGAAATTCTAAAACTAAACAGTAATAGAGGGAAAGCCCACTCACGCGACATGTTGCGCGCGACTGATCGCGCGCCACAATACTTTTGATGTTTTTAAATGACCACGCGACCACGCCACAGAACCGCGTTAATGGGCTTTGAGTCATTTAAAAACATCAAAAGTATTGCCGCGCGCGATCAGTCGCGCGCGACATGTCGCGTGAGTGGGCTTTCCCTCTAATGTGAATTGATTTTCTCTAATGACTGACCTATAATGTGAAAATCTTTTTTTTCGAATTTTTTTTCCGGAACGTGCAGCTCGAAAACGGTTGGGTATTTGAAAAAAGTGAATATATTGAAAGTTGTAAGATAATTTAATCAGCTCTCATTTAGTTTTCCTACCACGTACCATTTTCGTGATATAATCGAAAAACTCAAAAGTTTATATAACTTTATATTAACTGGTTGCATAAAGTAGATCGTTTTGACGCTTGCTGTGATTACAAAATATGTCACTTTATATTTCAAAATTAGAAAAAAATATTTACCTACATCAATTACGATGGATGATATGTGGGATTTTAATAACAATAAGATGTAACTATTTACTGTATAATGCAAGCATTTAAAACTAACAATTTTAATTCTTATCAAAAAGTACACTTACCAAAATCAATATTTTGAAGATGTCTATTAATAAGTAGATTAACAATAAATCACTAAAAACATTTTTTTATAAATAATTTTTATTTTAGTAATTTGCTGTGTAAATTATAAAAAGCCAGTCGAGAAAAGCAGTAATCTACAATTTTGAATAAAGTGAAAATAGATATTCTAGTAATTAAGACTAATGTCATTCTTTGTCTAAATTTGGTGCATTTCAAAATTAAAATTTAAAATTTGTAATACGAATGGAAATGTTAATTTAAAAAAGAATTTTTTAGACATTTTATGGTCAAGGAGATCGTTCCCAAAACTTACCGCCTAAAGGGAAAAACTGGGAAAATATCTGTATAAAAGATTCTTCATCTACCATACCAGTTGGACATTCCTGGAAAAAAAAATTCTTTTTATTACATTTCAAGGACCTACATATTAATCTTCTCTAAATTTACTCGTATATGGTTTGATGTGTGAGATAAAAATTTGATGAAAATTATGAGCTGGTTAATCATCTACGAGTTGAGATATACAGAGTGGCCCAAAAGTCTGGAAACGGCCAATTATCTCGTAAATTGCTAGTCCTAATTGTACAAAATTTGGGGTACAACTATTTTGGGATACGATGATTCCAGATTTGATATTTGCAATGTTGCCAGATTTGCTGTTTTTCTTAAATTATTTGTCACTTTGGTTTTTCAAATGCATGTAGTCTGGAAGGTCTTAAATAAATAAAATAAATCTGGCAACGCCTAAATTGTCTCAATAAATTTTTTAATACAAACTATTTTCAACTACATTAAAACGTAACAATTGAAAGATTATAACATTTTTAACATAATGGTTACTTTATCAGGTGTTCAAAATGTGCTCCATTTGTGAGTTGACAATACCCTAATCGATGGTAGAATGCGTCTACCACATTTCTCCATGATTGTTTTATTTATTTAAGACCTTCTAGACTATATAAAATCATATGTGTTACATATGGTTGAACTCGTATTGAATAGGAGATTCCAATAATGACTGAATATACAGGGTGATCAATTTGAAAAACCAAAGTGACTAATAATTTAAGAGAAACGGCAAATCTGGCAACATTGCAAATATCAGATCTGGAATCTCCGTATCCCAAAATAGGTGTACCCCAAATTTTGTACAATTAGGATTAGCAATTTACGAGATAATTGGCCGTTTCCATATATATATATATATATATATATATATATATATATATATATATATATATATATATATATATATATATATATATATATATATATATATTGTAATGTAAAGAAAAGAAAAGAAAAAGATTTATAAATAAATGTAGTGTGCCTCAATATGAAGCACCCATAAACATAGATGCAATTCTAGGTAGAATTACAGAATCTTCTATTTTTTCCAAAATCGACTTGAAGCATTCATTCTGGTTGATTCCTTTACATCAAGATAGTCGTAAATATACAGGTTTTTCTATAGACGGTGTAATATATAATTTCACTGTTGTTCCGTTTGGGCTACAGAGCGCATGTGCATCATTGGTAAGAGTACTCCATAGAATATTAAATAAGTATGATAGTTTTGTATTGCATTATATCGATCATATTTTAATATACTCAAATAATATTGAAGAGCATATGAAACATCTTGACAAGGTAATGCAGGAACTTGATAAAGCAGGCCTGAAAATAAACATAGAGAAATGTGAATTTATAAAAAAACAAATAACATATTTAGGATATTTAGTTGATAAAACAGGAATACAAATGGACCCAGACAGAATACAAATCATACAAAATTATACAAGACCATACAACTTAAAAACATTGAGAGGATTTTTAGGAACCTTGAATTATTTTAAAAAACTTATACCAAATTTAAGCGAATTACAATTGCCACTATTAGAACTTCTTAAAAAAGGTATAAAATGGACATGGATAGAACAACAAGAAAAAGCATTTCAAGATATCAAACAAAAATTTACAAGAAATTTAAGAATTTATCATCCTCAATACAATACGCCATTTATACTTAAAACAGATGCATCAAAGCAAAGATTTGCTGGAGTGTTAGTACAATATCAACAAAACATTGAAGTACCAATCTATTTTGTATTTAGGACAACAAAAAGCCATGAAAAGAACTATAGTGTAAGCGAATTGGAGTTAGCGAGCATAATTTTTAGCATAACAAAGTTGAGATTTTATCTATTAGGCAGCAAATTTCAAATTGAAACTGATAATCAAGCACTGACTACAATACTAAACAATAAATTTGGAAATGGACGGATACATAGGTGGGCACTTCTTTTGCAAGAGTACGATTTTACAATAAAATATGTCCCAGGAAAGCTAAATATTGTGCCAGATGCCATTACAAGAATGGAAGGGGGAGACAAATTAGATTTAAGACAGGTTCACATAGGGATAAATATTATGAAAAATGACATAGCGATATATTCATTAAATGAAATCATAAATGACCAAATACAACTTACAGACAAACAAAAACAAAAACTGACAAACAAAGACAACATTTACTATAAAAATTTATATGACAAAGAACTTTATGTAATAACCAAAGCACTAACTAATGACATTGTAAAAGATATACATGAAAGATATGGAATCAGAAAAACATGGTTAATATTTCGAGAAAATTATTATTGTAAGAATGACATCACGGTTATTAAAGACATTGTAATAAAATGTAAAATTTGTCAAATGGCAAAATTTAAAAACAGTCATAATCAAAATCAACCAAAGACAATAATAGCAACAAGACCATTGGAGATAATTGCCATTGATTTTTTATCAAATTTGACAACAAGTACAAAGGACAACAAACATTTATTAATCATTGTGGATGTCTATACAAAATACATTAAACTATATCCTTGCAAAAAGACAAATACAAAAACTTTAAAAACATTCATTACAAACTATACAACAGAAATAGGTAAACCAGACAAGTGCATATTAGATAACGCAACATACTTTAACAATGACAGATTTAAACAATTTTTACATTCATATTCAATAACACCGAAGTTTACAAGCATTCGACACCCAGCAGCTAACCCAGCTAGTAGATGTAATTGGCCGGTTCTGGAAATGAGAAAGAGGTACAGAGAGAGGTAATTGGGTAATTAGTAATTATCCTAAGTACCCCCCACCCTTCGCGCAATTAGCAAGTACCTCCCAATTACATCATGTACTGTAATAGGTGCAATTGCACAGTAAGTACCTCCCAATTACCACCTATCGTAATAATGTGAAACAATATATGGCCGTTATTAAAGGAACAAATATGGGTCAAGTTATACTTACAATAAAATTGTAGAAATTTTTAATGAAATAATGTGTATACTATATAAGTAAAAAATATTTACAGTGGCTCTACCACAGATGCTTAATATTATACCACAAATACACTTATACATTTTCACTATTTTTATTATTTATTTGATATTTTTGTGAATCCAATTAAAAAAAAGTCTAACATTGGTATATAAATGACTACTAATTCAATAAACATTCGATATTTTAGTAATTATAATATACAGCTTGATATTTCACTAAATATTTACTTATTTTGTTCTTAAAATATTGTAGTTTTCTACCCACAATAAATAATCCGATAACTATTAAAAACAGGGTTCTACTATATCTCATCATCCTACTCTAGAAGAACTACCTAAACTTCGTTATAGATGGCGACCATAAAAAACACATATTTCTACTAAACTTAGCCCAACTAGATGCCTAAAGGACCCGGCACTTTTTACCTGAGTTCGAGATTTGTGTATTATTATACGTAGATCTCCACTAATCAAAACATAATAGTTTAGTTGAAAACGTTGTGTGTCAATGTGTTCATTTTACTTATTTTTTTGTTTTAAATTTTTGGTGTCTTTCACCTGAGAAAGATATTTTAATTATTCTGATGTTATTTTTTTCCGTTTTTATATGTATTTTGTATTAAAATAAGATATTTTTAGCCGTTTTGAAACCATACACTGCGGAAGCTCACGATGTTTAAACTTTTTGGATACGTACGCTACTATATATCCTCTCAAAAATCCCCCACTTCCTTTAAGCTCCTTCGATATTTACGCTCTGTACGGTACAATAGTTATACCCAAGAGGTACTTATATTAAACTCACTACACTTTATGATATACATAGCAATTACTATACATAATGTACTTACACTCATACCACTTCATTGTGTTTGAAGTAATGGGGAGTACTTACTATAACTTATTACACATGATATACATACAAGGTGAATGTGAATGGAGTATTGAAAAGTATTTGCGATGCTTATTATACATTGAAGGTTTCTTACTATGCAATTAGACTCAGTACAGTGGGTTCAGAATTGGGAAGTACTTGTTAACTAAATCCCCCACTTTTTCCAAGTTCCTGCCTCGATATTCATGCCGTGTATGCTTGCGCCCGGCCGGTTCCTCACTTGGTGGTCGAGAGTCAAGGATGTGCGGACTTCATCCCCCATTTATGTCTATTATTTAGAATGTACTTAGGAAACAAAATGTTATACCTATATGCTACAATAGTAATAACCAAGAGCTACTTAAATTACTCATTACACTTCATGACATGCATAGAAATTACTATATATACAAGGTAGCTACACTCATTACATTTCAATGTGTATGAGGCGATGAGAGGTACTTATGATATTCATTACACATGGTGTATAGGGTATCTGAAAAGTACTTACTATGCAACTCATATTCATAATATACAAGCCTGAGAGGTACCCGCTAATTTTGTGAAGAATGGGGAACTATCCCTTCCACCGATGTTTACGTCTTGCGCGTCTGCTGGAGACTAGCGCTTCACTATAGCTATGACGGTTGAGAGTCAAGGATGTGTTTAGGTATGCTCCGACGTATTTTCCCTATGCTACAATAGTAATCATTGAGATGTACTTAGACTTAACTCATTACACTATATCCTATACCTAGTAATTACTATCTAAGAGGTACTTACTATGCTCGTTACATGCTACCCGATATACATAGTAAATACTTACATCTATATATGTATGAAGTAATTACACCCATTACACTATGCATACCCTGTGGCTAATTGGGAGGTACTTATTATGCAATTACAATCATTACAGTATGGCGTGTACATGCAATTGCATTTATTTACAGTACATTATGTAATTGGGAGGTACTTGTTAATTGCGCGTCTATCTCTGGCGCAGGCTACCCCTTCTTAGTCCCTTACCTCGATATTTCGGTTAAGCACGACCGTCTCTAACGCAGGCTAAGCACTCTAGGCACGACGGCCGAGAGTTAAGGACGTGCTGCCAACAGTAATCACTAGGAGGCACTTAGATAACATTCATTACACTACATTGCATACCGTCATTACTGTCTAAGGTGTACTTACACTTTAATATGTATGGAGTAATGAGATGTATACCCTGTGGGTAATTGGGAGGTACTTATTATGCAATTACAATCATTACAGTATGGCGTGTACATGGTAATTGGGAGGTACTTACTGTGCAATTGCACCTATTACAGTACATGATGTAATTGGGTGGTACTTACTGTGCAATTGCACTTATTACAGTACATGATGTAATTGGGAGGTACTTGCTAATTGCGCGAAGGGTGGGGGGTACTTAGGATAATTACTAATTACCCAATTACCTCTCTCTGTACCTCTCTCTCATTTCCAGAACCGGCCAATTACATCTACTCCAGCTGAACGATATATTAAAGAAGTTATCACTTATCTAAGAATTTTAACTCATGAACACCATGAACGATGGGATGAACGATTAAAAGAAATTGAAGATTATTTAAACGAAGCACCAAATACGCAGACAAAAGAAACTCCTATATTCCTCATGAAAGGAATAATGCCTGATCGAATGTGGATATAGACTTCACATAAGAATAAAGAAGAAATTATGGAACAAGTAAACAACAGAATGCATAAACAAGCTGAAAATTATATAAGAAAACAAAGAAAGAAAATTAGGAATTGTATAAAATTTCAGAAAGGAGATTTAGTAATAGTAAAGGCACTCAGAAAGGCAGATAAAAAAAACAACCGTTGTGCAAAGTTAGAACTACCTTACGAAGGACCATACAAGATTATTAATGAAGACGGTATAAATAGTTATGTACTGGTAGAACCAGAAACAAATAAAGAAAGAGGTATATTTCATATAAGTCAAATATACAGATTTATGGAATAAACGTATAGAATATAGTTTACAGACAAGGACTAAATATAATTTTTTAAATACTGAAAAATATTAAAATGAAACAAACTTAATTTAAATTATTGTAGAAATTTAGTATTCATTAATAAATTGATTACAATTAATTAAATGAATACAAATTTGGGGGAAGTTGTAATGTAAAGAAAATGTGAGCATGATGTAACGAAGTTACTTTTTTTATTTATTTAAGAAATATAGGATCCGTCGGAAAACCGAATTATTATTACTTTCCTATCTGTATACAGATATAAGGAAAGTATAGGAATCATGATTTTTTTCGACCTCGAGTTTTCGACGGATTTTTACGTTTTGAGGTCCCCTGAATCCGTTTTGACTATTTTCGCGATGATGTCTGTGTGTGTGTGTGTCTGTGTGTGTGTCTGTGTGTGTGTGTGTGTGTGTGTGTCTGTATAACGCATAACTCATGAACCGATACACGGAAAAACACCAAATTTCAAACTTAAGCTTTGTTCCAGCGTCTAATGAGCTGATTAGATTTTGGGCAGAGTCGGAACATCTGGGGGGGTACTTTATAGGTGGTCATTTTTATATTTTATGGAATATATCTGTTATTTACGTTTGGAGAAGAAAATTCTTCAAATAAAAGTTACTTCTAATATAATTAATTATCTATAATTTTTGTTATATACAAAATTTTCCTAAAATGGTCCGTATTCGCGAAATTTGACAAAATGTAAAAAAAATAATTTTTTATAAAAATTGTTCAAATAAAAGTTGTTTGTAATATAATTGTCTATAATTTTTATCCTATAGATAATTTCTCTAAAATGGACCGTATTCGAGATATTTGAGAAAATGTGTAAATTTCGAAATTTGAAGAAAACTCAAAAACGGATAAAGAAAAAAACATTAAATTTTAAACTTAAGTTTTATTTCGGCCTGACGTGAAATGATTAGATTTTGGACAAAGTCGGAACATCTGGGGGGGGTACTTTATGGGAGGCCGTTTTTATATTTTAGGGAATATATCTGTTATTTATGTTTGGAGAAAAAAATTGTTCAAATAAAAGTTACTTCTAATATTATTATCTATAATTTTTGCTTTATGTAAAAATTTCCTGAAATGGTCCGTATTCGAAAAATATGACAAAATGTGCAAAATTCTGATTTTTATGAAAATTGTTGAAATAAAAGTTGTTTGCGATATCGATCTCTATAATATTTGTTCATACATGATTTTTTTAAAATGGACCGTAATGGAAAAATTGTAGGAAAAGTGCTAAATTTAAATTTTTCAGTATTTTCATTTTCAATGAATATCTATAGAAAAATGTTTCGCGGTAGATGTATGTGGACAATGTATATATTTAGTTTATCCTCTAAACATTTATAGAGATGCTGCAATAGGTTGTACAAAATAACCGGAAGAAGCCTGTAATAACTAGATAGGAAAGTCATGTGTTGGACACATCAGATTTTTTTTATTTTATTTTTCGTATTCATCATTTAGCTTTAACGTTAAAAATTCGAGTTTTCAAACGTTTACTATACATATATTGAATATTCCCATCAAAATTTTTTATAAGTCAGCGGACGATCGCCTGCATTTCCCCACCTCAATCTTCGATTAATAATCGAGTTTGCACGACGAGTGGCGAAAATCACCTGTAAAACAAGCTGCACCGCCTGTACCGGCCAGATCTCATTATCTTTCCGCCGACGCTTGAGCTAGTAAGCAGCAATTCTTAGCAGTACCAGCCGCCTCCGATTAAACAAATCCCGTTCTCCGAGTACAGGTAAAAAAAAACTGATTTCTTATCGCGTTGTTTTTGGAAGTAAATAAAAGACACATTCCGATTTATACCTGCTTTATTTTCTATTGAATTTGAAATACCGCAATAATTAATATTAAAGCATTTTGCTCTGTTAAAGGTCTTTATTTTTTTTAGAAAGATTTATTTTCATTTCCCGACTGAATTATTGATTTTTTTTTAAATTTTATTTTCCGATTTTGAATACGATTAAATTATTTAATAAGATAAATAGATTTAACGATTTAATTGCTGCCAGGTCTAGGTTAATTTTTTTTACAGTAGTTGATTCTTTTATTTAAATTTTCTTTCCTTTAAATTAAATACAGGGTGATACTCGTTATTGATTTAATGATTAAAAATAATGTCTGAAAACTAACTAGTGTTTTGTATGCGTGATTGTGTCGCTACACTACTAGTGATTAGACATTATCCGTGGATTTTATTTTTTTTATTTATTTTTATTAAACAGGGGTCACGACCGAAAACACATTTTTTTTTGATTTCCGTATAGAAAAGTAAATACTATCTGATACCTAGCTAGTGTTTTGTATGCGTGATTGTGTCGCTACACTGCTAGTGATTAGGTATTATCCGTGATAAAATTTAGTTTAATTTTCCTTTAATTAGTTTTTCGATTAAAGTTTAAAAGAAAAGAAAATATTGTCTGAAAACTAACTAGTGTTTTGTATGCGTGATTGTGTCGCTACACTACTAGTGATTAGACATTATCCGTGGATTTTTTTTTTATTTTTTTTTAAAAGGGGGTCACGACCGAAAACACGTTTATTTGAGATCCGTACAAAAAAAAAATAAATAGTATCAGATGTCTAGCTAGTGTTTTGTATGCGTGATTGTGTCGTCACACTGCTGGAAATTAGATATTATCCGTAGTTACATTTTGTCTTTTACTTTGATTTAATTCCAAAAGGGTGGGATATTAGATGGGAAGCTAAACTAGTTACCTGGTACCGATTAATTTTATTTTTCATAATTGTTAATATTGAATTCTATTTCCGTTTATATTCCCTGTTCATAACTAAATGCTACCGTAATCCGATTTAATTCAGAACTCCGTGTCATTTGCTTTTATCTGTATATTTATCTAAATCACGTCTGATTGAGCTCCGACCTGTCAAGCCATCGTCCGCAACCGCTTATTTTTGTTATATTTTTGTTCAGGGTTATAACGACTCATAAGGGGGTGGGCTTTGAAATATTTTAATTTTTATTATTGTTATTAGCTTTCGTAAGCAATAGATGTATTAATTTTCAAAAATTTGGCTTATAATTGTGTCGACCTTTCCCTTTTTTTCTTTCAGCTTCGACAATTCTTTAAACGTAACAATAACGATTAAAGCCCGTTATTGTTACCCTCTTATGTGTATAGTCTTACATCAACGAGACCCCTGGAGTTTTTCCGTCATCTCCACTAGAAGCTACCTGTGTTGTGGAGCAAACCACATTAATAAAACTGGCGCTCGAGTACTTCCGAGTCATAGGGTGTCACTAGTAAGGGTAATATTTTCTTAGAGGCAAGAAAACATCTTACAATGATACAATGAAACCATTACACACAATTATTTCTTGAAAACTTTAAAATATTTATTAAGGCTATAGCGAAGCCAATATAATAAATAAATCTATTGTTATATATGTAAAGAAAAGGAAACTGACCTTATATTTTAAAGTGAATGCAACAAAAGGGTGCTATAATTTCATTTCAGGCAACAAAATATTAACAGCAAACAATATTCCAGTAATCCTTGGCATATGAACATCATCATAATCTAAAAATGTAATTAATTATAATAAATAAATACAGATTCAACACAAAATTATAAAAAAAAAAAAAAAAAAAAAAAATTGGATGATAAAATTTTAACACCCTGTATATCAAAAAGGTTGTTAAATCTTTAAAAAAATAAACTAACAAGGTACCAACCTAAAATTAGGTGACATAAAAATTCAAATTATTTAAAATTGACAACACAGATATGAAAATAACTGTTGTCAAAATTTAAAAGAAATTGTTCGAAAAATTATTTAATGTATATTTAAAATAAACTCACTTACCATTAAAAGAGAATCAATTAAAGGTTCTGGTAAAGGATCCTGAGGCGCGAATTTCATAATTTTAGCATTAATATATTGAAGTAACTTACTTTTTATAATATTTTAACTGAAATTAAATATAGAAGAATACGTTTCATTTGCTATTTTTATTTATATTATAATAAAATGCAATATTTTGACTGATTTAACCTAACTTTTCATCATTTCCTTCCATAAAACCTAAAATAAAGTGATTCATGAAATTGTCAGTTCTTGACACACAAGGTCCTCGAGTTTGCAACGTTGCCATACTATATTGTTGATTTTTATCACTGATAATTTCCAAGTTTAAGATTTCTGTTTGAATGAGAAGAAAATAAGTTATAGGTGAAAATATAATGTGTTATGTGAGACTTTTCATTTCAATTTTAGCTGTGTCCAGGCCGTTGGAGTCTATGCCGGTAGGCGTAGCCAGGTATGGATTAAAATTTTTTGGTGGCGGCGAAGCCGCCACGCTAGCGGAAGTCGTCATTTCGTTTTGAGTGAAAGAACATTTAAAAAAAGTTGTCTAGGTATTACATGTTGAGTGATTTAATTAATTTCACTTTTTAATTTTGTATGTAGTTTTTTTGAGCTGCATTTTTAAAATTAATTTGGTTGATATATTAATTTTTGCATTTTATATACGATAATTACCGTACTTATCTTTTTAAACCAAACGAAAAATTTATGATTATAAATTTAAATAATCCTCAAACTTATGATTTTATTAACAACTTGGCAACGTTTGTTATTTTTAAGACAGAAACGTCAGAAATTGTCATTTAGAGTAATTAGGCATTCCAAACAAATGAATTACCAGTGGGCAGGTTTGGTATATCTAAGGGTGGCGACATATGGTGTATTCTATCTACTTTATGTAAAATCATGAATAATGGATTACATTTAAATATTTTATGTCAAACACAATAAAAATAATATTTAAAAAACCCACCTATACATTTCTTCATAAATTGGCAGGCTTGGCGAGTACTACTTCGAATAAAAATAGCGTCCAAGTTGCAAGACTATGTCGCTACCCCCTTAAATATACAAGAATTTCCCACTGGCACCTATTGTTTGACAGGTCGTTGGAATGCCTAATTGTTTTGTGATTATAACCTGTAAAATTGGGATTTTTAATTCAATTTTTTTCGAAAAATACTGCTTCATCCATAAATTTTTTTTCGAAAATTTACTATAGAAACTAGTTACTTTTGAGTGTTTAAAATTTTTTTGTGAATTTCGCACCTCAGGATCCTTTACCGGACCCCAATTAAATATAAAAGAACTAGAAGACTTTTGTTCTGATTGGTTAAACATAATTTCAAGCCGTTGGATCCAATTTTTCTTTTGTTTCTGTTGATAAAACAAAAGCTAGTATAGAGGAGTTTGGCAAGAATTTTTGTTGATGATGCCACGCAAATTTCGCAAAAAAGAAAGAAATATTAATGTAAAACTTATTACAGAAAGGTAGTAGAATTTAATATTGTTATAGTGATAGAAAATATTAACATAGAACCTAGAATAAAGTTTCAAAAATGTAAAATTTACATAATAAAAGTGAAAATTATAACATACCTGTGACGTCATGAAGACAAGCCGGAGAATTGGACAATTGGAGGTGTCTTTTGAAACAGTTTGAGATATTCTTGAAGTTCCTTAAGTTAATATCAAGAATAATTTCAGTATTATGGATTTTTGACCTACAAAATGAAAAGAACAACAAAGTGATTCATAAATGTGAATTTGAACTTCTACTTAAAAAGGTACCAAATTAATTAGTTAAATTACTTACCAGTTTAAATTATTGGCATTATTATTCTTTAAATTTAATAAGTTGTATTCCATTTGTACAATCGTAAAAAGTCAAAATATTTGGAGGTTAATAAATGTCAATGATCTGTTGGTCCCAAATAGACATTTTTGTCATGTACATATTGCCAACAATGCCAACTTAATTTTTTTTTGTCATTAATTTTAAGTTTTATAGTTATCCTAGGCAAGTATGAGTGTTGAGTATGAATGAATTAGAAATATATTTTTCCTACGACCACTTAGGAAAGTGACACATATCACACTATATAGACCTATGGAAAGTGCCCTATATCACACGCGTATGAATAAGAATTTACTTTCCACCCAAGTGAGAATATGCTACTTTCCGCAGTAGCTGTCATAAAATGTCAAACACATAATTTCTATTTTGATCTATGTAATGTCCATATTAATACTAAAATCGATATGATTGTTAAATTATTGTAAATTAGATCCTAGATATTTATCTTTAACAATTATTTTTAAAATAATTTTAAAATAACTAAGATATATTTGCTTTTTATTCTGGTTAAACACATAAGCGATTAGATCAATCAATTACCGTAAGGCCTGTTAGCTCAGTTGGTTAGAGCATCAACTTTGCAATTTGAGACCGTCCAACGACCGCGATCGAATCCTGGCTGTGCCAGATTTTTTTTTTTATTTTTTTTTATTTGTTTAGAAATTATGAAAATTTAATAAATACGATTATTGTTGATTATTTTTTTAAATACATTTTAATTATTATAATAATCTGGTTTTACATTTTTTGATGAAATTATTTTGTGGTCGTAGGAAAAATATTGTACATCACTTGTGTGAAAAGTGATTTTCCACACTCGTGTGATAGTCGCACTCGGCTTACGCCTCGTGCGACAATATTTCCCACTCGTGTGAAAAATGTCACTTTCCACACTCGTAATGTAATATACTATAACCTATTTTCCCATAGGAATCGTAGATATTGTTCATACTGTTATTTTTTTTGTCTACAATAAAGTGTTGTGTGTTGTCTAACTTTCACTATCTGTAATAATCCATATGCTAAATTCAATGTTCTGTTACGAGGGTTACTGAAAAAGTAAATGAACTTGCTGCTAATCCTGAGGTAAGAGTTTAAATAAAATGTAAACATATATAACAGTAAATTATTTATTATCAGGTATATAATATTAAAGATATACAATAAATTTAGCTAGCCGGATATAAAGTAAAAATTAAACTAAATTCATTATATGCAACGTAGGGTTTAAAGTAAATTTACATTACCATTGATAAAGACAACGTGTAGCTAATGTCAAAATAAAAGTTATGTAATAAAATAAACATATTTGAAATTAACATTACAATTGGCTACAAACGTAGGGCTCGATTTGTGAAATAAACTAAATAAAATTGTGAGATTAATAAAAACATAACAATATATATATATATATATATATATATATATATATATATATATATATATATATATATATATATATATATATATATATGACACGTTAAAAATAAATAGAGATTATATGAAAATCTTTTTGTCCACGACAATCACGCGTAGTGATTTCCAAACCCAGTCATTAATCATTACTTTCAAATCTAGTATGATTCAAGTTCAGTATTCAGTACCTTTCCTAAACCGACTCAGTTCATATCCTACCTCCTATCGACGTTCTACGTACAGACGATCTATCTCCCGACGTTGTCACGTCCCGACGTCATCTTTCCCATCCGACGCTCTATGTCCCGATGTCCTATATCCCATTCGACGCTTTACGTCCCATTTCCCTACCTTTCTACGTCACGACGCTCTCTCTAATACGACGCTCTGCGTCCCGATGCCCTCTCTAGGCCCCGCCGCTCTACATTACGATGCTATACGTCCCGGCGCTCTACGTCTCAATGCCCCTTCAATATTTCCAAATCAATAACATTCCACGCATCAACAACAATATAAAAACGTCAGAAATAGATGGTGAGTCAATAATTTAAAATATGTTTATTATTATATTAATCATTATTATAGAAATGTATTGTTCAATAACGTCACATTTGGGTCGCTAGATCGGCACGTCCCAGTTTGCATTTGCCATTTTATTATACCAGCCTAAAAATATTTAATAATTTGGTCTACCGAAGTGTCGATACACCCTCGCTAATAGCTACTAAATTAACCGCTCAGCTGATTGAAGTAAATGACACTTCGGGCGGCTAGACTCACATCTTACACACATATGCTTGATGTTACCGCAGACTTGGACTATATTAAATAATTATCTCTTAATCTTCGCACCGTAGGTAGGTCTAAACGTAAAGGGTAGTTCGCTGGTATTGATCTGGCTATATTCTAGTAGGACTACACTACATAAACCCCCCTAGGTGAGGCTGAAACATAAGAGATATTTGTCTGTTATTACAACGACTGTATCTCAGTAAGCGCACCTATATAAAAGAGAAACGACGACCCAAAGAATTATTAAAGATAGTCCAATTCTAAGGATGTTTGCTGTATATCCTCAAGAATTCTTTAACAGTACATATATTTAATGGCAAGTGGCCTGTGGCCTGTTTATTTGGATGGGACACATGTGAGGTCTCGGTGAGAAATATAATTTCTTATCCCAATATAAGTAATGGTATCGCTATGTTATTTCAGGATAAAATAAATAAATTAAATATAACTTGAGTTTCATTTCATTCACAAATTTGTACCAAACTTTGCATCGAATCCTGGTTTATCTTAATTAACATTATCACAGTGTCGGTATATAAATTATCAATTAATTAACTAGACGATCACTACTTTAAATTTCACAAAGGGGAGAGATAATTAAATAAGTTCTTTTAAATAATTAGAAAGCAACACCCCTGTTGTGGGCGATTATAATATTATTATTATTATTATTAATATTTAGTTTTTAATTTTTATCAGAACTCAGTTTGTTCTTTCGAAACTTAATGTACACTAATTCATTTAACGAAATACTGGTACAAATGTCGGAAAATAATAGCATTTAACCTTTCACAAAACGAACATTTATTTTGAAGCGCAACATGAGAAAATACCGGCAGTATAATTTCAAGTGTCTTTATTTTTATGTTACTAATTGCGAGATGCAATTAGTAGAGGCTTCTCTACTTTACTTGTCAGAAAATGTAATGGGCGTTTTTAAATTTATATTACGTGTAATAATTGCAGGACCAACTCTACTTAAAAAATACTAATGGACGATGTCACCATAAGAGATGTTAAGAAGATAGTCAGAAACAAAAATAGAATTGGAACAATGCGCATTTACAGATGTCGTCGTAGGTAATCAATCCTCACGAATAATGAAAAACAATTACAGGAGAGTATTAAAGTAATAATTGTGATAAAGTTAAAGTAACAAACACCTACAGCCAATAATATTCAGGCAAAAAAACGGCGGCAGTCAGTACTGCAATCTGCAATCGTAGAAAAATCTGTTGTGTCCAACACATGACTTTCGTATCTAGCACACACACACACACACGCACGCACGCACGCACGCACGCACGCACGCACCCACACACACACACACACACACACACACACACACACACACACACAGAGAGAGAGAGATAGAGATAGAGATAGAGATAGAGATAGAGATAGAGATAGAGATAGAGATAGAGATAGAGATAGAGATAGAGATAGAGATAGAGATAGAGATAGAGATAGAGATAGAGATAGAGATAGAGATAGAGATAGAGATAGAGATAGAGATAGAGATAGAGATAGAGATAGAGATAGAGATAGAGACAGAGATAGAGATAGAGATAGAGATAGAGATAATAGAGATAGAGATAGAGATAATAGAGATAGAGATAGAGATAGAGAGAGAGAGAGAGGCGTATTCCGTTTGACCTAGACGCGCTGTTTTTCTGCAGAACGATCAGTCCGTTTTTTTATACCACCCCTTATATTGCTGATTTGTAATATTTTTTTATGCTGCATTAACTTATTTGGTTACTAATATATTTCTTTAACGATCTATTTTTTATGGAGGTCTTTGTTCCGTAAAAAATGCAATATATTAACTAATGGATAAAATATTTTGTAAAAAATTATACTTATATAAAATATATAATAATACTACTAACCTGTTTAAAGCCTCTGTACATAAGCTGTATTTCTTTACATGTAAATTTGGTTTTAGAAGCTAATTTGTGCAACTCCTCTGGTCTGTATCGATAAATGTGGAAGGCGAATTCCTCGTTTTCATCATCTGTAAGTAAAATTATACAATTAGGGTCTTGGAAAAATTAATCAATATGAAGTGTCACAGACAGAAAAAAATTATATCATACTTAAAACGAATTTTGAGAATTTTTAAAAATTGAAAATACATATACAGGGTGTTTAATTGGACACCACTGCTTCCAACTAACACTTTTAATGGTTCTTTGGCCCTTTATAACCTTGATACAGGTGTTATCTAATTCTTTCTTGACTTATAAATTACCAATCACCCTAATCGATATCAAAATCTGGCGGATGCGAACATTCTCGAACAATGCCTTTACCAAAAATCTGATGTGTCCAACACATGACTTTCCTATCTACTTATTACAGGCTTTTTTTCGATTATTTTGTACAACCTATTGTAGCATCTCTGTAAATATTTAGAGGTTAACTTAATATATACATTTTCCACATACATCTAACTCGAAACATTTTTCTACATACACTCATTTCCGACGAAAATGCTAAAAAATTAAAATTTTATACTTTTCCTCCAATTTTTCTATTACGGTCCATTTTAGAGAAATCATGTAAAAAACAAAAATTATAGAGTTCAATAATTTTCCTAAAAATCAGATTTTTTTACATTTTGAAAAATTTCTCTAATATGGACCATTTTAGGATAATTTTGTACAGAACAAAAAGTATAAGAAGTAACTTTTATTTGAAGAATTTTCTTTTCCAAACGTA